CCCATTCTTCTCTGCAGATCCTCTCAAGCTGTCAGGTTGGATGGGGAGCGTTGCTGAACAGCTATTTTCAGGTCTCTCCAGAGACGTTCAATCGGGTTCAAGTCCGGTCTCTGGCTGGGCCACTCAAGGACATTCAGAGACTTTTCCCGAAGCCACTCCTGCGTTGTCTTGGCTGTGTACTTAGGGTCGTTGTCCTGTTGGAAGGTGAACCTTCGCCCCAGTCTGAGGTCCTGAGTGCTCTGAAGCAGGTTTTCATCAAGGATCTCTCTGTACTTTGCTCTGTTCATCTTTCCCTCGATCCTGACTAGTCTCCCAGTCCCTGCCGCTGAAAAACATCCCCACAGCATGATGCTGCCACAACCATGCTTCACCTTACATTTACATTTACATTTACATAATTTAGCAGACGCTCTTATCCAGAGCGACTTACAAATTGGTGCATTCAACTGATGATAGCCAGTGGGACAACCACTTTTTAAATTTATTTTTATGGGTGGGTGGAGGGGGTGTAGAAGGATTACTTTTATACTATTCCAGGTATTCCTTAAAGAGGTAGGGTTTCAAGTGTCTCCGGAAGGTGGTCAGTGACTCCGCTGTCCTGGCGTCGTGGGGGAACTTGTTCCACCATTGGGGTGCCAGAGCAGCGAATAGCTTTGACTGGGCTGAGCGGGAACTGTGCTTCCGTCGAGGTAGGGGGGCTAGCAGGCCAGAGGGGGATGAACGTAGTGCCCTCGTTTGGGTGTAGGATCAGAGCCTGAAGGTAAGGAGGTGCCTTTCCCCTCACAGCTCCGTAGGCAAGCACCATGGTCTTGTAGTAGATGCGAGCCTCAACTGGAAGCCAGTGGAGTGTGCGGAGGAGTGGGGATGGTGCCAGGTTTCTTCCAGACGTGTCGCTTGGCATTCAGGCCAAAGAGTTCAATCTTGGTTTCATAAGACCAGATAATCTTGTTTCTCATGGTCTGAGTCCTTTAGGTGCCTTTTGGCAAACTCCAAGCGGGTTGTGATGTGCCTTTTACTGAGGAGTGGCTTCCGTCTGGCCACTCTACCATAAAGGCCTGATTGGTGGAGGGCTGCAGAGATGGCTGTCCTTCTGGAAGGTTCTCCCATCTCCACAGAGGAACTCTGGAGCTCTGTCAGAGTGACCATCGGGTTCTTGGTCACCTCCCTGACCAAGGCCCTTCTCCCCGATTGCTCAGTTTGGCCGGGTGGCCAGCTCTAGGAAGAGTCTTGGTGGTTCCAAACTTCTTCCATTTAGGAATGATGGAGGCCACTGTGTCCTTGGGGACCTTCAATGCTGCAGACATTTTTTGGTACCCTTCCCCAGATCTGTGCCTCGACACAATCCTGTCTCGGAGCTCTACGGACAATTCCTTCGACCTCATGGCTTGGTTTTTGCTATGACATGCACTGTCAACTGTGGGACCTTATATAGACAGGTGTGTGCCTTTCCAAATCATGCCCAATCAATTAAATTTATCACAGTTGGACTCCAATCAAGTTGTAGAAACATCTCAAGGATGATCATTTTTTTTACTTTTTACCCCTTTTTCATGATATCCAATTGGTAGTTACAGTCTTGTTCCATCGCTGCAACTCCCGTACGGACTCGGGAGAGGCGAAGGTCGAGAGCTATGCGTCCTCCAAAACATGACCCTGCCAAGCCGCACTGCTTCTTGACACACTGCTCGCTTAACCTGGAAGCCAGCCACACCAATGTGTCAGAGGAAACACCGTACAACTGGCGACCATGTCAGCATGCATGCGCCCGGCCCGCAACAGGAGTCGCTAGAGCGCGATGGGACAAGGACATCGCGGCCGGCCAAACCCTCCCCTAACCCGGACGACGCTGGGCCAATTGTGCGTCGCCTCATAGGTCTCCCGGTCGTGGCCGGCTGCGACACAGCCCGGGATCGAACCCGGATCTGTAGTGACGCCTCAAGCACTGCAGTGCCTTAGACTGCTGCGCCACTCAGGAGGCCCTGTTTTTATTTTTTAATACATTTGCAAAAATTTCTAAAAACCTGTTTTCGCTATCTCATTATGGGGTATTTAATTTAATCCATTTTAGAATAAGGCTGTAACGTAACAAAATGTGGAAAAAGTAAATGGGTCTGAATACTTTCCGAATGCACTGTACTTTCCGAATGCACTGTATTTTCTTGCACAGTGTTGGGGAGTACATTTAACTAGTAATTTAATTACATTTTGCAGTAGCTTGATGGTAGTTTAATTAAATTCAAATCCTGGTAGTATTTTCAGTAGTTAATTACTTTTTTGCCATGTAGTGGTATAGTTAACTACTGGAACTACACACTACTTCTTTTAGCAAAAATAAAAAAAACTAGGCAATAATGTCCTATCTTTTTTCGCATCAGACCAGCCTAATTCACACTTAAAACACTTTTTGTGTGACAAATTCTCACTTTTTGTGTGTCACATGACTGGGCAGGGGCGTAGCCATGGGTGGAGCCAGGACCACCCACTGGGGAACCAGGCCCAGCCAAGCAGAATTTGTTTTCCCACAAAATAGAAATACTCCTCAGTTTCATCAGTTGTCCGGGTGGCTGGTCTCAGACGATCCCGCAGGTGAAGTAACCGGATGTGGAGGTCCAGGGCTGGCGTGGATACATATGGTCTGCGGTTGTGAGGCCGGTTGGATGTACTGCCAAATTCTCTAATACAACGTAAGCATAAGTGTGACTGAAGCTTACACCCCTGTGTGTGTGTAGAGTATCAACTGTACTTTCATATCCGATTACTGTCAGAGCAGTGGGTCAGTGAGTCAATGTACTCTCTATGTTTCCTCCAACGTCCCACACTCTTAGAAAAAAGGGTTCCAAAAGGGTTCTTTAGTTGTCCCGCTAGGATAACCCTTTTTGGTTCCAGGTAGAACTCTTTTGGGTTTCATGTAGAACCCTCTGTGAAAAGGGTTCCATTTAGAATCCTCTGTGGAAAGGGTTCTACACAGAACCCAAAAGGGTTCTTCAAAGGGTTATCCTATGGGGACAGCCAAAGAAGCCTTTTAGGTTCTTGATGGCACCTTTTTTTCTAAGAGTGTATCCCCTGCAATGCATTCCATGTGTACACTGTATTTAGATGGTTAGTTCACTTCCTTAAGGTTTCCAGGTGTGTGTGTGCAGGGATGGACTGGCCATAGGGCAATTCTGTCAAATGCCAGATGGGTGGGTCCATCTTTAGCCCAGTGAGCCAGTCTAAATTGTGTGTTTCTTTACGCACAATTATCATTATTCCACGTTGCAACAACTTAGACAAAAAGTTAAAGCGTTCCCATCTTTGTCTACTTCTCTGCTACTCAAATCTGGCGTTTGAACAAAAAATAATATTCTGATAAAAAGTTACAGCAGTGTAAGTAACCGCATCAACAACAGTATGAAAAAATGTATGCACTCACTAACTGTAAGTCGCTTTGGATCAGAGCATCTGCTAAATGACTAAAAAATTTTAAAAAAATAAAATTATGTAACAACAGTTCTCTGTGTCATTATTGGGATTCCAAAACGGAACCGTTGCCAAAATGATGAAGACAGAGAAGAGAGTGACCATAACAATACAACTTCTGATCAAAACCACACAACTGTTGACCACAATCACACAACTACTGACAACAACCATACAACTTCTGAACACAACCACACAACTGCTTACCACATCTAGTGACCACAACCACACAATTACGTACCACAACCACACAACTTCTGACCACACATCTATCTACTGACCATATCCACACAACTTCTGACCACAACCACATAACTACTGACCACAACTACTCAACCACATAACTACTGACCACAACTACTCAACCACATAACTACTGACCACTACTACTCAACCACATAACTACTGACCACTACTACTCAACCACATAACTACTGACCACTACTACTCAACCACATAACTACTGACCACTACTACTCAACCACATAACTACTGACCACTACTACTGACCACATAACTACTGACCACTACTACTCAACCACATAACTACTGACCACTACTACTGACCACAACTACTGACTATCGATGGGAATTTTAAATGATTTCAAAATTTGAATAATATAATCAAAGTTTTTTCACTACCACACATTTATTTTAAAGAGCTTTAGCAAGCCCCAGAACTTTACTTGTAAAGTTACCATCTAATAATAATGGGAGCCTCAAAGAAAAAAAATGGACTGGTGTGATAGAAATGCCTGGGCTGATTTCTGGTCCCTGTGTGTGTGTGTGTTTGTGTGTGTGTGTGTGTGTGTTTGTACCTTGCCACTACTAGGACATTTGAAAAAGTACACATTTATTGCACAATGTAGCCCAATGACTTGAAACCTGGCATGCTTTCAGAACCATTACATACTGTGATACATAGAATACTTGCAACACTCCCTCTTTCAGTTACAACACCCAGAACTAGTGTGACACATCAACTACAGAAATATTTCACCTATTTCCCTACGAATAAAACTCGTTTTTGTACATCCAGTAATAATGCCAAACCAACGTAGCTGAAGAAATGTAGTAAACACGATACATTGCATCATATGTTAAAGCCCCACTCTCTCTCGCTCTCTCTCTCTCTCTCTCTCTCTCTCTCCTCTCTCTCTCTCTCTCTCTCTCTCTCTCTCTCTCTCTCCTCTCTCTCTCTCTCTCTCTCTCTCTCTCTCTCTCTCTCTCTCTCTCTCTCTCTCTCTCTCCATACCTTTACACAGCCCAGCTCCAACCTAGGAGAGAGCTAACCTAACCCACCCATAGAATAGGGGGGAGGGATATTTTCATGATAAATCTTTGCTTTCTACAGCCCAACAAAGGTTATTGGACTCCAGCAGCACCCCTGTGGAAGACAGAAGTGGTAGATTCCTTCCACCATTCGGGAGTGTGGAGAGTACTAAGGGTTAACTGGGACTTCCAAAAAGTTTAAATCCCCTCCCATCAGCAACAAGGAATGGTCTCACCCAGGGGTTCACATGACGTGTGTGTGCGTGTGTGTGTTTTCTTAGCCATATATAGGACCATGTGTAGATAGTCCAGGAGTTCTGTTGGATAGACAGTCGATTGGCTCCAGGGCTGCAACCCTCTCTCTCTCTCTCTCTTTTTTCTCTCTCCCTCTACCTTCTCTCTCTCTCAAGAGAACGAGCGGAGATATAAAGCTCTCCCCGGAACATTTCTCTCCGTTTCTTTAGTGGTACTGAGCACCTGCCTGTGTCAAAATGAGTGACACTCTGCTGGATGATGGGTCCTTCATGTTCACTTCGGAGTCTGTCGGAGAGGGACATCCAGGTGAGTGTTCACCTGGCTGTATTTTACCTTCTCTTTACCTACTCGATATCTACCTGCTCTCTCTCTACCTGCTGTCTCTCTACCTGCTCTCTCTCTACCTGCTCTCTACCTTCTCTATCTCTACCTGCTCTCTCTCTACCTGCTCTCTCTCTACCTGCTCTCTATCTACCTGCTCTCTATCTACCTACTCTCTCTCTCTACCTGCTCTCTACCTGCTGTCTTCCTGCTCTCTATCTACCTACTCTCTATCTACCTGCTCTCTACCTGCTGTCTTCCTGCTCTCTATCTACCTGCTCTCTCTCTACCTGCTCTCTACCTGCTGTCTTCCTGCTCTCTATCTACCTGCTCTCTCTCTACCTGCTTCTCACTGCTGTCTCTCTGCTCTCTATCTACCTGCTCTCTATCTACTGCTCTCTCTCTACCTGCTCTCTCTCTCTACCTGCTCTCTATCTACCTGCTCTATCTCTTCTGCTCTCTACCTACTCTCAATCTACCTGCTCTCTATCTACCTGCTCTCTCTCTACCTGCTCTCTATCTACCTGCTCTCTCTACCTGCTCTCTCTCTACCTGCTCTCTATCTACCTGCTCTCTATCTACCTGCTCTCTCTACCTGCTCTCTCTCTACCTGCTCTCTCTATACCTGCTCTCTCTCTACCTGCTCTCTCTCTACCTGCTCTCTCTCTCTACCTGCTCTCTATCTACCTGCTCTCTATCTACCTGCTCTCTATCTACCTGCTCTCTTTCTACCTGCTCTCTCTCTACCTGCTCTCTTTCTCTACCTGCTCTCTCTCTACTTGCTCTCTACCTGCTCTCTATCTACCTGCTCTCTATCTACCTGCTCTCTCTCTACCTGCTCTCTATCTACCTGCTCTCTATCTACCTGCTCTCTATCTACCTGCTCTCTCTCTCTACCTGCTCTCTCTCTACCTGCTCTCTATCTACCTGCTCTATATCTACCTGCTCTTTAACAGTACTCCCACTTCTTTAGCTGTGGCCCCACATCCATAGCCTGTACATGTCGTATGTAGTGTGAATAGTTACTCAGTGTATATAGCACCAGGTCAATCAATCAATCAAATCAGGTGGGTGCAATTCATTATCAGGCAGGACAAAAAAACAGCATTAGTCCGGGCCTCGTAGGGTAGCATCTGAATACCCCTGGTATATAGTATGATATAAAAGATGAGATATAAAATAAAATACAATTAGACAGAATTTAACACAATGTGCATATAAATGAAAGCTGAATACAGACAAAATCATACATTTCTGCTCAAAAAATGATTTCCGTACTGATGTAGAAACAGTTGGTGCTCTAGAACAGAGACAGTATCTAACCAGGCACTGTAAGACCCTGGACGAAGTTGCAGCTGTTAATCTGTCTGTGCTTCTGGAACACACACTTACACATTTGCTACGAGAGCAAATGGATGATATTCCAATGATAGACTACTCCCATAGACATGGTGTTCAAGGGCTCTGGCAGACATGACCAAGGAGATGCAAAACAAAAAAAAAAAAAAAAAACTGGGACGCGCGAGCTCAAGAAGAGAGAAGAAAAAAAAAAAAAAAAAAAAAAAACAAAACCCCCCCCCCACCCCCACCCCCCCCCCCCCCCCCCCCCCCCCCCCCCCCCTCTCTCTCTCGTCTGCTCTCTATCTCTCTCTCTTCTCTGTTCTCTCTCTCTCTCTCTCTCTCTCTCTCTCTGTCTCTCGCTCTCTCTCTCTCTTTCTGAGGGGGATGATGAGTAAAGGTCTGGTGTAGAGTTGCATGGCTGAGAGAGCGTGGGAGAGAGAGTGATGTGTGTGTTTGTAATGTTACTGTTTGATTTGGCTGTAATTGTAACGTGTGCATTCTGATACAGCAACCAACCGGTCTGATGTCTCATACATCCCGCCCCCTCCAACCAAGTTAAATTCACATCCAATCAGAAGTGCTAAAACCTACTCTGCCCTCTGAGCTATATTTACCAAACTGGTCTGACCCTGTGTTGACCCTCTGCTGACCCTGTGTGTGAGAATACCTCCAGAACACTGTCATACACATATACAAAGACGTATACATACCCTCACAGAAACACAAACTGTAATACAAAGATGCTGATCGAGAAATGTATGAGAAGTTACTTACTATTGAGATTGAGCAATAGAGTTATCAGTACAGTGTGTCCGTTTCCAACATGTGCTCAGTCAACTTCGTAAAATAAGGGTTGAATATAAATAAAATAATAATGGGGAACCTCTCAGAAACACAGAAAAGGCGTTTCCAAATGTTTTCCAAAACATCTGTTTCAGAGAGAAAACTCTTCAGACTAGGCACCTTTATTAGTTATCTTCATCCCTTAGAAATGAGGCCCATTATTTGGCTTGGCAGTACATCTCTCCTCACACACACATTAGACTGGATGCCCAACACAAAATGCATAGTCACCTCAGGAGAACAATGCTACACCACTGAAGCCAAACCCTGAGATAAGAACACATCAGGCCAAGTCGAGGAGAAATACAACTGAAATTGTTACAACAACAAAGTTTGGCCTATATTTCATTTTTATTTCTCTGTGTTCTCAGAAGCCTGTTTTCTGTCTTAAAGCTAGAATCCTTAGTTGCTACATCAATTTTTGGACTTAAATTGATTCTTGAAGAATATAACTTAGAAATGCCTCATGAGCTTAGTTTAACTGTTTTACCCCATCAGAACCCAAAATAGAAGCTTGTTTTACCCCAATGCTTGTAAATAATGTAAATGTAAACAAACACTGTAAAGTCTCAAAACATGGTTAAAACTGAAATGTTTATATAATGGATGGTCAGTCCTTGCATCCATAGCTCTGTCTATGAATTTGAGTGGTTACATTTCTCCAGGCCCAAGCCTCAGCTTTTCTCAATTAGGAATACACAAGGAAGAGTCTCTCTCTCTCTCTCTCTCTCTCTCTCTCTCTCTCTCTCTCTCTCTCTCTCTCTCTCTCTCTCTCTCTCTCTCTCTCTCTCTCTCTCTCTCTCTCTCTCTCTCTCTCTCGCTCTGTCTCTCTTCTCTCTCTCTCTCTCTCGCTCTGTCTCTCTCTCTCTCTCTCTCTCTCTCTCTCGCTCTGTCTCTCTCTCTCTCTCTCTCTCTCTCTCTCTCTCGCTCTGTCTCTCTCTCTCTCTATTTGAAGGAAAGCCACCAGGTTCTCTGCTACAGTGCACCGTTGGCTTGGCCTTGAAGACAGGGTTTAGTACACACCATTCCATCTGATAACAACTATGAGGTCTGGACTGTTCCCACACATGGTGGAAACTGGTTCGGCCTGCTTCTGTCCAAATTGGAAGACCTAGCAGAGCTACAATGTTACATTGCATTGCACTGAAGAATGTTATATCCAGTGGGGACATGTACCCAGCTTTGTCCACTGGGTACATGGTTGCTTTGACAGGACAGTAGCTAGTTGGCCGAAGCAGACACAACTGACACCCAGACAGTCTTAATCCTTTTAGAAGTCTTTCCAAGCTATTGTTCCAATGTTCCAACTGTTCCACTGATAATCAACATCATAGTAGTATAATATTATAGTCCATTTAAAAATAATAATAATCTCAGCTGAAATTGTATTGCATAATTTAGCCTGCCAGGCCTGGGATATCTGGGATTTTTGTGTTGTTTCTGATACAACACATGCTACACGTTGCTTCAGTGGTCAGAGCAGATGAATGCAGGGGATGGTAGCATTGTTCTACAGCTGCTGTGCAGTGACACTGTGACAGTTTGAAATCCCACTGGGAACTGGAATGAAGCCCAAAAATTCCCAACATTCCCAACACTTTCCCCACTAGATCTGCAATATTAATTTGATCACTCTGTTGCCACATTTTCCTGCGCAGAAGGAAATGCAAATTGTAGTGTATTAAAGATTTTAAAAGGCTTCTAAAGTTTGTCATTTCTACTTTAAAATGTCAGACTTGATTTGCCCTGACAAAAAATGTATCAACCCCTACAAAAATGTCCATGAATTATAATCCACATAATAATTCACATTTCCTGTTGCTGCAGGATTATTTTCCTGCTGTGAGAAGCAGGGTCAAATTAACATAGCGTATCTGTACAGTGCAAACTGGACTTCTCCCTGAACCAATAATGTACTGTAAATCATGCACCAACTCCTCAATCCTACATAATGCATTTAGCCAGTTACAATTCGAGTCAATCCTTCATGCAGCATACTGTATAAGCCTACATTCCTACAGAGCTGTTTGACTGTGTGTGGTGTGAAAAACATTGGTTGTGAAAAATACTGCTCTTTTGTACTCTGGGATTATCCCAGCAAAAGGAATGTGTCACTTTTTAAAGATTTCACAAGTTCAATGGGTACAATCCTGTTCATGAGGAAATTATTAATTCGCATCACGCTCAAATACACTTTGTTTCAGTGTGCTTATGATTCAAGCCAAGTGCTGGGTGGCGGGCCTCACTCTAAAGACTCATTCATTTACTCTTGTCCTCTTTCTATCCTTTGTTCTTTTCCAGACAAGATCTGTGACCAGATCAGTGATGCTGTCCTGGATGCTCACCTGAAGCAGGATCCAAATGCCAAGGTTGCCTGTGGTGAGTGAGAGTGGAGGGACACATTTAAATTAAACCCACAGAATAACAAGATGTTTAAGGAGTGAGGGCCCCAAACGTTGGAATGTAACATACAGAATCACAAGGTTGCTTGTGTTGGGGGACACATTTAAATGAAATACAGAATATAACGTTGCTTGTGGTAAATGAGAGGGAAGGGGACACATTTAAGTGAAACACACAGAGCAACAAACAATGGCAATGTCCCAAAAGCATTTCACTTTTTATTCCTACTGAGTTCTGTCTAAAGCTAGCACTTGTTTCTACTTTGTTTGAACTCAAACCCTTTCATATTCTCTTACATAACTTCTTAACTTCCAAGAAATAACTCAAAGAAATAAGCTTATTAGAACAGTTGGGACACAACACATAAGAAACCCACTGATGTGATGAGTGTGATAGAAGGAGTCAGGCGCAGGAGGGTAATCACCGAATGCAGAGTTTATTCCGTCGTACACAAATAGCGCTGGATAGCGACAAACGAAACAGGCACAGGGGAAAATCTACCCCAGCAATAACAAGGTACGAGTAGCTCCACCGAGCTACACTACTCTCACAAATAAACAATCACCCACAAGGACAAGGGGGCAGAGGGAACACTTATACACAGACTAATGAGGGAATAAGAACCAGGTGTGTGTGATTGACAAGACAAGACAAATGGAATGATGAATAATGGAGCGGCAGTGGCTAGTAAGCCGGTGACAACAAACGCCGAAGCCTGCCCGAACAAGGAGGGGTATAAAGTGTAATGGGTTTTTATAACATAGGTATAAAGTGTCATAGGTTGTTATAACACAGTTCTAAAGTGTTAATGGTTGTCTTCACCCTGTGTAGAGACGGTGTGTAAAACTGGCATGGTGCTGCTATGTGGAGAGATCACGTCCCGGGCCAACGTAGACTATCAGAAGGTTGTCAGAGACACCATAAAACACATTGGCTATGACAACTCAGACAAAGGTGAGAAACAGGCTTCTGTTGTATGTTTTCTACTGAAACTGATTTGTCTATATGCATACTGTAGTGTAGGAAGCACAATCTAGGGAATCAGAAACATAGAGGGGTAATCATGATGACTCAATTCAATTCAATTCAATTTCAATTTCAATTCAATTTAAGGGCTTTATTGGCATGGGAAACGTGTGTTAACATTGCCAAAGCAAGTGAAGTAGATAGTAAACAAAAGTGAAATCAACAATAAATATTAACAGTAAACATTACACTCAGAAGTTTCAAAAAAATAAAGACATTTCAAATGTCATATTATGTATATATACAGTGTTGTAACAATGTGCAAATAGTTAAAGTACAAATGGGAAAATAAATAAACATAAATATGGGTTGTATTTACAATGGTGTTTGTTCTTCACTGGTTGCCCTTTTCTTGTGGCAACAGGTCACAAATCTTGCAGCTGTGATGGCACACTGTGGTTTTTCACCCAGTAGATAAGGGAGTTTATCAAAATTGGGTTTGTTTTCGAATTCTTTGTGGATCGCTGTAATCTGAGGGAAATATGTGTCTCTAATATGGTCATACATTTGGCAGGAGGTTAGGAAGTGCAGCTCAGTTTCCACCTCATTTTGTGGGCAGTGTGCACATAGCCTGTCTTCTCTTGAGAGCCAGGTCTGCCTACGGCAGCCTTTCTCAATAGCAAGGCTATGCTCACTGAGTCTGTACATAGTCAAAGCTTTCCTTAAGTTTGGGTCAGTCACAGTGGTCAGGTATTATGCCACTGTATACTCTCTGTTTAGGGCCAAATAGCATTCTAGTTTGCTCAGTTTTTTTGTTTGTTCTTTCCAATGTGTCAAGTAATTCTCTTTTTGTTTTCTCATGATTTGGTTGGGTCTAATTGTGTTGTTGTTGTTGTTGTTGTTGTTGTTGTTGACTCTCTGTCTCTCTTCCTCTCTCTTTCGCTTCCTCTCTCTCACCCTCTCTCTTTCTCTTTCTCTCGCTCTTCCTTTCTCCCTCCTCTTGCTCTCCCCAGGTTTTGACTATAAGACGTGTAATGTGTTGGTGGCTCTGGAGCAGCAGAGTCCAGACATCGCTCAGGGTGTCCACATCGACAGGAAAGAGGAAGACATGGGAGCTGGAGACCAGGGTCTGATGTTTGGCTACGCTACAGACGAGACAGAGGAGTGCATGCCTCTCACCATCGTCCTGGCTCACAAACTCAATTCCAAGATGGCCGAACTCAGACGCAACGGAACCATCCCCTGGCTCCGCCCCGACTCTAAAACACAAGTGAGACTGAGAGAATTACCAATGAACTCTCTCTCTCCCTCATTCTCTCTCTGAGGGGGAGGAGAGAAGTGGTGTAGGGTTGTATATAGGCTTCTCATAGCAGAGAAAGAGAGAAAGGGAAAGAGATAAAAAGGGAGAGAATTAAGGAAGAGAGAGAAAGAAAAGTTGAGAGGTTGCCACTAGGAAGTTGTTACCATGAGACCATGTGACTGGTCTGTTTATACCGCTGAGTGGGAATGAGTTGACCCCTAACCCCTAACCCAATGTAGTAAGACTAGTCTTGAGTAGAGGAGACCGGCTGTGCTCTCGTCAATCCCAGCAAAGGGCCATTATGATCTCTAACCCCCTAGTTCCTACCTCTTCTGCTAGTTCCTACCTCTTCTCCTAGCACCTACTCACTTCAACATTCACAGATCTGAAAGGACTGGATAGGTGTCAGTAATGTGGTGGAAGCTCCACTGAGTTTGCCCTACAATACATGTCTAAGGTTCAAGTTGGGAGGAGGGGCAAGGAGCTGAAATGGAACAGACCAACATCCAATGGATTCCTACCTCAGGCAGCTGTAACCTAATGGGCAATTCTCGAGTTCCTGAGATTCCTATGAGCGGGAAGTGAAGAGGGAATGGTCTCCAGTTTAAGGGGTATTTTTGAGTGGCTGGAAGAGGACTGGCCCAAAATAGGACCTTGTGAGAGGGGTTACATTCAGGTATTGGGGGGGTGAGGGGTCTGAGTTGAACCCCAAATGCCGTAAATTGTCATTTTTTAAGTGATACATTTCCTGACGGATGAGCTCCAATTGATTGAAGAATTGATTGGTTGATAAAGCTATTAAAAAAAAATAAAAAAAATCCATCCATGTCTGAAGTTCAGTTCAGTTCACCAAGGCCCTCAGAAAACTTTATTGATAACATTGACAGTGTCTTGCCTTCAGGACTGAGAAACACAAAAACAAACACACATGATAACACATCTCATCTCCTCCTATCTTCTCCCTCCTCCCCCCATCTCATCCCGCTCCTCCCTCAGGTGACGGTACACTATGAGCAGGAGGACGGGGCAGTGATCCCTATGAGGGTCCACACTGTGGTCATCTCTGTTCAACACGATGACGTCATTGGCCTGGAGGAACAGAAGGAGGTGCTCAAGGAGAAAGTACGTAGTAGATGCTACTGCCAGGAAGATCATTTCAATACTTGCACAACATATCTCTATGTGTGGCTCTGGTGGTGAATGCAATGTAAAGCACTTTGACACCTAGTGAAAGGCTCCATACAAATGCAATCTATTATTCCCTCCTATCAGGTGATCAAGGCAGTGGTTCCAGCTAAGTACCTGGATGATAAGACCATCTACCATATTCAGCCCAGTGGACGCTTTGTCATCGGAGGACCCCAGGTGAATGTCATAACCTAAACGGGTGCAATCACACATGTAAACAGACACAAGTTCACTCACCTCACCTACACACACACACACACACATCTCTCCCTCTTCCTCCACTGCCAGGGTGATGCTGGAGTGACGGGTAGGAAGATCATTGTTGATACGTATGGAGGCTGGGGGGCCCACGGTGGTGGAGCTTTCTCTGGTAAAGACTTCTCCAAGGTGGACCGCTCGGCTGCCTATGCTGCCCGCTGGGTGGCCAAGTCCCTGGTTAAGGCCAAACTGTGCAGGAGGGTGCTGGTTCAGGTGAGGTCTTATCACGGTTCTCCTGGTTCTCCACTTTATGGGTTCTCCTCCTCAATAAATTACCAACTAAATACATGAGTTCTCCTGACAGAACTGATATCAGCGAATTACTTTTTACTTTATATTGTCATGATTGTCATTACCGCTGTAGATTTTATCAGTGGTTTGTGTTAAGTCTCAAACGTTGACATGAGCATTGAGGGCATTCTGTGTGTGTGACTGTAGGTATCCTATGCTATCGGAGTGGCTCACCCTCTGTCCATCTCCGTGTTCACCTACGGCTCGTCACAAAAGTCAGAGAGAGAGCTGCTGCAGATCGTAAACAAGAACTTTGACCTACGACCTGGTGTCATCGTCCGGTAAACACCTCACCTCTGCAGTCACTCCAGCTTGTCATCAAAGGAAAACTGTTGTTTGTAACACGTAGTCGTAGATCATCACACACATCACTATTAACCATAGAGGTCTATATCAGATTTAAGGTCATATTATTAGCTCAATTATGGAACCCATCTTGAGAGCTGCAAACCCCTCTAATGTTTCAGGTCTCTCAGTTCACGTAAGTCATGCTTATCATGTCATTGACAGATTTGTTTGGACTTTTAAGTTACACAAGCAGTGGTAATGTACATTTGTGTAGCAACGGTTGTTACAGGTGTGTCTTTCCCACCTCTGATGTGTATTTTATCTCTCTCTCCACAGGGAACTGAACCTGAAGAGGCCAATCTACCAGAACACAGCGTGCTACGGCCACTTTGGCCGGAGTGAGTTCACCTGGGAAGTCCCCAAGGATCTCAACTACTAAACATCCCCACCTGGTGGTCAAGTATATAACGAGCTCTTAAACATCCCCACCTGGTGGTCAAGTATATAACGAGCTCTCCCAGAGATAGAAAACAGGCCCCCTCTATAGGCTACAACCACAAATGGTTCTGCTTTTTCATTGGCTAGTGTTGGGGTTAAGGTTTAGGATTAGGATTAGGATTAGGGTAAAAGGTTTGGGTTAGTGCTAAACAATAATTTATGTGGTCGTAGCCCATAGAGGGGATCTGTTTGTTTATGAATGAGAGGGGTGCCACTTATAGAGGGGCATCTCTCTTCTCCCTCCCTCTCTTTCTCTCTCCTCTATCTCTTTTTCTATCACATCAAACATTTCAGTCAATAGAGAGGATGAACTCACTGTGATTTTAATCAGACAATCCACACATTTTCATTCAGATAAAAGGTGTCCTTAGTATAGTGTCTCACCTACATTATGTGCCTTAGTATCAAAACAATGATGCATTAGAAGTATTACATGTGCAGAAGTATTTATACACACTCACTCTGGTCAAAGAGTGATACCATGGTCACTTCTGCTATTAAACAAAGAAAAAAAGAAACAAACAAACAAAACCAAATTAAAAATATATATATATATAAAGCAGAGCATTTGTGAGTGGCGGGCGGGTTCAATAAAGAGAAAACGATGTATTAAAAATCCATAAATGTATCATTATAGTGCAATTCATAGGCTATTTTTATCTGGCGTTAGTGCATAGCCTAAACCTAAGCCTTAGGGCCTAACTGTAGCGTGCCAAATACACGTAAATTGCCAAATGCTTTTGGGAATTTGGCCAGAAAATGTTTACGTCGATCCACTGAGACAAAAAAGGACAATGTCGGAGTTTAATCCAATAAGAGAAAAGCTGCGAAATGGAGTGTTGAACATAAATAGAAGGGAAGGCCACGGAAAGATTAGGTAAAGTGGTAACAGAGGATGATTGCAGTGCCAGCTATGTTAAGCGTGATGATTGTGAGGTGCTATTCAAATTTGACAGTGACAAGACGGGGACTTCAAAATGGCACGTCAAGGGAACTGTTCGATTCAGATGGGTTAAATGGAAAAGTAGCCTAACTGAAATCTGGACGCTGACTGTAGGTCTACAACCTTTCACATAACCTAATATAATATTAACTCCTGCAAAATTAAGAATTTCTTGCAGTAAAATTATACACCAAATGTACATTTTCACTCGTAGCAGGAGTGGAGAAATATTATTTATTTAATTCTGCATCTTGATAGTGCGCGGTTAGGGACCGTCTGTAAAGGTGGAGGTGCAGTCTTTATCAGCGTCATAAAAGCTGATCGTATTTCAAACACATAAAATATGCATCCAAGCCGAACTGAAATCTTATCAAAAACATGTTGGGTCGGTTTAACATCTTTTAATTTCATTTGGAAATTTTGCACTGAGAATCTTTCCAGTTTTTTTTGTTTTGTTATTGCACCGGTCCCTAAATGTCTTTGCTGCAGGAGAGAAGCAGAGATGAAAGAGGAACGAGAAAACAAACTTTACCATGGCAACTAGATTGAAACATGAATTATATTGATTTATGCACAGCAATTTCTGAGGGTGTTAAATTTAACACTGGTCCAGTGTCTTTATGGGTCCACACTTTTCAGTGTTAAACTAACTCACTACTTAGTGTAAAGCCTTATTTGCATAATTCCCAGAATGCCTTGCCTTTTGAGTGAATTGTAGAGTTACCACCCATGACTGTATTTGTTAGTGGCAGAGACATGGTTGTTGCATTCATCCATCATTCATGCATTCCTGTGGCCTTCACCAAGCGAGATTCCAAGTGAAAATGTTATCATTAAAATTAAATTATTTAACACAATACAACACATGTTTCATAAGGCCTTATTTTGAGGTGGCCTGAAACTCGTGGTTTACAGGCAACATCAGGCCTGCAAATCACATTATGCTGGATTGCTAAATGATGTGTAATTCCTATTGGATTCCAGTGAGATTGGGAATATCCAACATTTGGAATTTGTATTCACACGCAACCTGCATTTAGAATGACTGCCGGGTTGGGAAGACTAAAATATCAGACTACCTAAAGCATCTCAACTGGAACACCATTACAGTAACAGGTGCAACAAGTCCAAGTAACAGATTGGATTAGTTTAGAAAAACGTATGTTATTTATATTTGAGTAGCATAAGATTAATTAATCAATCATCAATCAATGTACATGCAAAAACATATTGAAACAAAAATCAACCTGCAATAGAGCATGCTGGGAAATATGATAATGATTGGCGTGGTTTTGGTTTAACACTGGGGTTATTTTACACCAATGAGTATTAATTTAACACTTACAGAGCTACTAACACCTGTATCAAAACTAGAAATGTTACACTGAAAAAACAACACTAGGTAACACTAGCCAATTTGCTGTGTGGCATTATTCTGGTGAGCAAGGGTTTATTAAGTCTTCTAGGGCAACAAGTAGAGAAGCTGCATGTATCTAATTAGTTGACTAACAAATAGCCTACCAAAATGTTGGAAATTATAAGCCGAAACATAGGCCTATCTAAAAAAGATCTCTATTAAATCACTGGCAAAATCCCCTCACAATGATCTCAAACTGTGTTTCTAATACACAATGAAATACACACAGAATACCCCTTGCTAATCAGGAAAAACTTGGGTATGTTGTGGTGGACTGTCATTACAATTCTATTTATTTATTATGTTTGTAGTGTAGCTACAGTAGCCACTGAATGGCTCTGAATGCCCTGGCAGCATGCAGTCAAAGCTATAACCACTTTTTGGAGCAAACTAGTACTCTCAAATCATATCCTGATGTTGACAGCAGATAGGAGTTTTATTCATAACATTGCTAACTTAGCTAGCTAACATACATTTTGAGAAAACAAGTTATATTAACTGGCTCGCTAGCAACGTTTGGTGGTCAATGAGACTGAGAGCTAGCTAACCAGCTGAGCTAGCAAACAATGTAACAAGTATAATTTCGGATTTCAACAATACTTAATCAACAGGCTCTGCATTTCAGGAATCACAGTAGCAAGTACTCCTGGTGCACTATTCAATTATTTAGCCATTTAAACATTACTTTTTGGAAGAAAACTCTGTTTGTGCTATAGCCCTCACTGGCTTTCATGCGATTTAAACGTAAACTTGTCCAAGTGTGGGATGTCAGACTCGACGACAGTTGCTATCCATTGGAGCGCTGCGATTGGTTGCCCGACATTCTGGGGCGGGGCTTAGCTAAGGGTCAGATTGTGGCGCTCGTCACTACTGTGAATACACTGTATAGCATTATAATCCCCTCTGCTCTGTCCATATCACCTCAATATTGGTGCTATAAATCCTGTATTGGTATTCATCCATAATCGAAGCAGAACATGTATCTGCAGGTTCAAACCACAACCTTCAATCAATCAAAGTATATTTTTATTTTGTCAGTAGGGTCTTACAATCCCATCTAATATTAGAAGGGAGATCACCCTCTAACTTGGGTTTCTGATGCCGTTACAACTCTTATCTTTGCTCTGTATCAAACTGGTTTATATTATATGTAGCTTTGTAAAGGTCAAATCCACAAAAGTCTTAATTTTGTAATTATATAATCGATGCTGCAGGACAGTTTTTACAATGCACTACTACTACTACTACTACTACTACTACTACTACTACTACTACTACTACTACTACTACTACTACTACTACTACTACTACTACTACTACTACTACTACACAACAACAACAACAACAACAACAGGTGTGCAGTCAGATGACACAGGTCTCTTATCCCAGGGACGTCTTGGGCAGTATACTGTCCCTCTTACCAGTGTGTTACAGTAGACCAAATCTAGCAGTAGAAATAGCTTTGAAGAATAAGGCTTTATAACAATTTATAAGGCATCACAATGATGCTTAATAACTGTTTATAAGGCCTTATGATTTATGACGTCTATGAACCCCTGCTCAGTCCTGTTTGACTAAATGCTATTTGTATCTTAATCTGTAGTCTAGAGCTAGTTTAGAGCTGCTGCTGGGATCTCGCTGTAAACAATATTAGCGGCCTTGAATGAATGAACTGTTCTCATCTCATCTCTGATGGCTGATAAGGTTTGATGTATTTAGTATTCTGACTTGATTGTGAGTTAATTGTTGTGATTATTTTGCTATAGGCATAAATAGTCTATGAATAGATTGCCAAACTGCATGCTGCCAACAGTAGGTATATTATCTTAACGTTTCTACATTTGTACAATTGTATATGCCTGAGAAGGTGCTTTCTGAGAATAATAACATTGACCTTCCCAAACAAACATGACAGAAGTATTTTATGTTGATGAGAGAATTTCCCTCTCTCTCTCTCTCCCTCACTCTTGTCTGTTTACATTATGTCTTACTCTGAGTCGCTGGGCCCAGTATTTTCTTTAAAGGCCCAATGCAGTCCAAAACTTGATTTTCCAGTGTTTTATATATATAAAAGGGCTGCATTGGACCTTTAAGGACATAGTAGGGGAATAGTGTATAAAACAGTCTTTCAAAATGTTTCAGGGTGCTGAGTTTGTGAAACAATAAGTAAAGGACTTGAGAAATACCTCACAGATACTGTACCTGCACATTGTTAAAAACCATCCTGAGCTGTTTAATTTTTATGTACAGTACATAACTTAAATGAAGCATTTTGAGAGGTCTAGTAGCAGTCTACTGTAGCAGTGTGTGGGTGTTTCTGCCCTTCTTTCCCCTCTGCTCCGGAGTCATTGTAGCCTTGTGATGTATTCAGCTGTACTGATCTAGCTATCATTTCTTCCTAACTGTGTCCCAACCTTGTTGTCCTAAGGAAGTTCCCCCCCCCCTCTCCGTACCTAGTAGTTACTGTATGCTGTTCCCCCCCCCCCCCCCCCCCCCCCCCCCCCCCCCCCCAAACTCTACACACAGTCCTAACAGTTGGCGTAGAAATCTAAAAATGTAAATAATTGTTGACAATAAAAAATATTTTAAACATAGAAAGCTGTGTATAGAGCATGTGTTTGGGTTGTTAATGCATGGTGTTATTGGTTTTTATCATATCTACAGTCCTCAGGAACTTGGTATGCAAGGTGTCTACGTATCGCTGTTAAAGTTAATATATTATATGTTGAACATAACTTTGATAACTTATTTGCATAATTTCCAAGACATGTATCTTATTCCAGTGACATAATTAGCAATGAATTGCTCGTAGAAAGGTGGTGAAAGGAGGGTGAGTGAAATAAAGATGTTGATAAGATATTACCTTAGTTTTATTGTAGAACAATTTAAGGCAAATATAGAATCTTCTCTCATTATAACAAACACTTTTAACCTGGCACATCTCTTTCTTTGGTTTCGTCAAAATAAAAGTCACATACAGGTTCCCTACATTTCAGTAGAGTATGGCACCATTTTGATTTGGATATCGGTAGGTAGGTAAGACCTTAATGAACATACCAATGAGGACAACAGCTAGATAGAGGAATGTTCTCTACTCTGTGTACGTGTGCCAACTTACAGCCTTAGAGAGACCTTTGGGTGTACAAATAAAACGTAACCAAACTTTATTGATTATCCATCAACTGTATTGATAATATCTGAATGAAGCACTTATAATACCGCTGGTATTTATACAGTATAGTGTTGCCCTTCTTTGATAAAGCATAGAACCAGCTCTATATGTAAATATATGGTTCTGCATAAAACATTTAACCAATGGAACCATGGCATGACCAATCAGGTCAGATATGGGCAGAGCCAATGGCACTTTGACATTGAAATGTAAAATCAACACACTGGTCAAAACAAGTTCCCTAAAACACAATTGAATATACAAAAAACATAATCTACTTTAAAATGTGAAGTTTTGTTTAGAATCACAAGATTGCGGCCAGCTGGTGATGTAACAGATTCCTGAGAGGTAAACGTTTGAAGGTAGATCAGTAAACAGAGAAACAGAACATTGACAAGGGTCATATTCATTAAGGCATGCAACAGAAAACATTTTATAATGTTTTGCAAATTACCACGAAAATTAGCATTTTTCATTGGACAGGTAGTCCAGTTAGTCCCTCCCTGTTTCTGCCCGTTTTCTTCCGTTTGGTTCCTAATGACCACGGTGCTCAGCGTAGACATTAACCCTGGCCAAATCCTAACCATAACCATTAGGGAGGAAATATGCTAAACTGACCCAGGATAAGTATCTAGGTGAAAACTTCATCCTACTTCTTGAAGCACTCATATGATTTGATATTGTTTGGCACAGTAAGTCAATACTGGGTCAGTGAGATTTATTAAGACAGTTTCAAGAACAGAGCATTTAAATGCCACTTGAAAACTGAGGCGGGTATATGGAGTGATATTAGTGCCGACAGGAATTGAATCAAAAATATTTTGATGTGCCCTCAAGCAAGGCACTTAACCCTAATTGCTCCAGGGTTGCCGTTGATAATGGCTTACCCTGGCCGTGACCCCACTCTCTACAGGTGTCTCAGCGGGAGTTTAAAAAATTAAACATTTCCAATTCACACATGCGTATTAATACACACTTGTACATGTGTGAAATAGGACAAATATAAGCACCCACCTATTTATTATTCATTATTTTAGCTAATGCGGCCGCATTGAAACAGTGGAGACAGATTTGCATAATAAGATCTCTTAGCACAAGATCTGAAAGGCAGGAGAATGGTTTGACACAGTGTAGTTACAGGCAGGAGAATGGATACGGATGGTTTATGTCTCTACATTCTATGGAAGAAGAACAGCAGCAAGCAGCAGCTCCATCCCGTTCCCTGTAGGCCCTATGCCAGGTTAAGCTAAAGGGACAGAAAGCTAAAGCCAAGAAGATAACCCGGGTGTCGGACTGTTATGTAGTTTCAGCATTCAACAATACATTGTACCCTTGCAAAACAACAACTGACAAGTTGACTGAGACGGTAACAAGTTGTCTGGGAAGGTAACAAGTTGTCTGAGACGGTAACAAGTTGACTGAGACGGTAACAAGTAGTCTGAGACGGTAACAAGTAGTCTGAGACTGTAACAAGTTGTCTGGGACAGTAACAAGTTGTCTGGGACGGTAACAAGTTGTCTGGGACGGTAACAAGTTGTCTGGGATGATAACAAGTTGTCTGGGACGGTAACAAGTAGTCTGAGACGGTAACAAGTTGTCTGAGACGGTAACAAGTTGACTGAGACGGTAACAAGTAGTCTGGGAAGGTAACAAGTTGTCTGAGAGGGTAACAAGTTGTCTGGGACGGTAACAAGTTGTCTTGGACAGTAACAAGTTGTCTGAGACGGTAACAAGTTGTCTGGGACGGTAACAAGTTGTCTTGGACAGTAACAAGTTGTCTGAGACGGTAACAAGTTGTCTTGGACGGTAACAAGTTGTCAGAGACGGTAACAAGTTGTCTGGGACGGTAACAAGTTGTCAGAGACGGTAACAAGTTGTCTGGGACGGTATCAAGTTGTCTGGCACGGTAACAAGTTGTCTGGGACGGTAACAAGTTGTCTGGGACGGTAACAAGTTGTCTGGGACGGTAACAAGTTGTCTGAGACGGTAACAAGTTGTCTGAGACGGTAAGAAGTTGACTGAGACGGTAACAAGTTGTCTGGGACGGTAACAAGTTGTCTTGGACGGTAACAAGTTGTCTTGGATGGTAACAAGTTGTCCGAGACGGTAACAAGTTGTCTGGGACGGTAACAAGTTGTCTGGGACGGTATCAAGTTGTCTGGCACGGTAACAAGTTGTCTGGGACGGTAACAAGTAGTCTGGGACGGTAACAAGTTGTCTGAGACGGTAACAAGTTGTCTGGGACGGTAACAAGTAGTCTGGGACGGTAACAAGTTGCCTGGGACGGTAACAAGTAGTCTGGGACGGTAACAAGTTGTCTGAGACGGTAACAAGTAGTCTGGGACGGTAACAAGTTGACTGAAGCAGAAACAGATGAACACCCAGGCTGCCAAAAATAAAAGAAGAGGAGCTCTGAAGTAGAGGAGGCTTGTCCACTCCTCCTCTATTCTGGTCCTCAGTTCTTCAGACTCTGAAACGTTTCTGATTTTCTGTGATTTAACTCGATCAGCCCAGGCACAGCTCTGGCTTGTATGAGCTGGTTTACAGTTGGATTCTTCCAGTCCTCTTCTCCACTCCCAACATCCATAAGTTTTGGCTGAACTGTACAGTCAACATTTATAAAATACAAATGTTTTGGACATTACGTATAAAATCCTATTGGAGGTTTGGCTTTCCATATACTCAAGTTTCTCTAATAATCATCAGGGAAAAAAAGATATTTTTACAGTCTGCAAAAGTCTGCATTACAATGTCCAGCTTTATAAGGCACAATGTTTACATAGCTTCAGTAAACAAAATAAGGTCATTCTGGTAGCCAGTTATTCCCAGGTTTAAAACCGGGTTTCAATGACCAGGATACTGTTAAATCAGAGAAACATCCATGTCATGAACACATTCGTTTTAGCTAGTCCTCAGTCTTTCGCTACATGTGAGGGGAGTCAATTTAACTATTTTAAACATTCAGAATATTCTAAACATTCAATTTGGTGTATTGGGAGCTGTGTGAGACCCGGGTCTCATGGTAATGTTGTTGTGCGTTTTAATGAACAAATGATGGCAGGTTTTTGTCTCGTTTGGACCATTTGGACTCTAGCACTGGGGGAAACATCCATGTCTGCTCGCTAAACGTCTCTGAAAATAAGGGGATTTCATATGCAAATCTAACATTACACAGGCCTAGCTCTCCCACGCAGGCAGTCTCTCTCTCTTCTCTAATGCATTCCTTTATTTTTCTCTCAGTCTCTCTTTCTCATGATACAGCCTCTCTTTCTTTCTCTCTCTATGGCCGTCTGGTGGCATGCCCTCTTCTCTAAACCTGCGTCCAGACGACAGTGATGTCATCAGACAGCAGCAGGGATCACTTCCTGTAAAGCACCAGCGGGGGATGAAGGAAAAGGAAAAGAGGATTTGGGTCCTTAGTGACGTGCTAACAGGGTCTTTGGAGGCTGGGACAGGGGACATGGGAACAGTACAAACCCCCATCTCCCCCATAGTGTCCACTCCACTCCACTCCCCCAGGCTTATGTGGCATTGGCATAGTCCACTTCATGCCCTGGAATGGTAGTGTTTTGGTGTTTTAGCGATGGATACTCAAAAGTCCCTCCACCTCCCCCAGATTGATAATGGTACAGGCCAGCTCTCTGGCTTTTCTCCCAGGGACTACAGCATTGATATGGTCTCAGGGGGGTGTGGAATGGGACCTCCTCGGGACTCCACTTTGTGATCTCTCCCGTTCGGCCCCAGGGCTCCCCCTCTGGCGAGCACCATCACAGTCTCTCCTGTGACGCCGGCGAACTCGAAGGCGAAGGTTCCGTAGAAGAGCATGATGATGATGCAGAACACCCACTCAAAGATGGCCGACGCGTGCTGCAGGACGAAGCTCTCCTGGACAAAGAACACGCCACCTAGAGGCAAGAAGGTCAAGGAGCACAACTAACAGACTGACCGACTAACAGACTGACCGACTAATACACTGACTAACAGACTGACTGAATAACATACTGACTGAATAACAGACTGACTCTAACCCACCTAGAGGCAGGGAGGTCAAGGAGCACAACTAACAGACGGACAGACTAACTTCCTGACTGACTGAAATGAGAAGAGGATGTCCAAGTCCCAAATCAAACCCTAGTCCCTATGCACTAGTGAAGAGCAGTAGGGAGTGGATGTATCCTATTTGGACTAAAGCAGCAACATTCCTATCCTTTCCACCTTCAACTACCTATTTCATCCCTTCTCTCCCCCTCCATCCTTCGCTTCTCCCCCCCACCCTCCTCCATCTTCCCTCTGTCCTCTCTGGTCGTGATGATAAGTAGTATGAGCCTTGACTTAACACCTCATTACATCATCTCCTGTTTCTGTAGCATGAGGCAGCTTGATGTACCCGCCATGGACAGGACACTAGTCTATCGCAGGGCCTTGGTTGTGAAGATAACAGATCTTATTGAGTTTGGTTCTATACCTTTCGCAGTAAAGGATACTAAGCACCAGGGTGATGAAGGCCAGTAGTGTCATGCCCAGTCGTAGGTGAGCCACGCTGTATTCTCCCTGAGTCTTGGCCAGCCTGTAGGTTAGAGCCGACTGCAGACACACAAACAGCATACTGGTGGGGAACGCTACCCCTGCCCCCACATAGTGGAGGATCTTAGCATTGTCCACCTGGGAGGGAGCGAGCGAGAGGGAAGGAGACGAGAGACAGAGAGGGGGGAGGTAGAAAGAAAGAGATGCATTTATTAGTATAGGGTTGATTTTCATTGTCTCAATGGGCATTGAACAAGTCACATACTGAATACACTGAAGAAGTCACATAGAAACATAATGGGATACGATACTAGACAGTTGAAAAGCCCTCTCTCTGTTCCAGCCTCTTGTGTTGCTGTGGCTCAGTTTGGCCAGAAGGGGGCAGCAGCAGTCAGTCATTGAAATAGTACTGAGTCAGGTAACTCATTGACCCTGCTGTTTTGTCATTAGAGCCACCTGCCACTTTTATCCTTTCTTTAGACATAAATAGATACTGTAGAGACAGAGAGAGAGAGATTTATGTTTATTTATTTTCCCTTTTGTACTTTAACTATTTGCAAATAATATGACATTTTAAAGGCCGGGGACTTTAATGCAGGGAAACTTAAATCCGTTCTACCTCATTTCTACCAGCATGTTAAATGTGCAACCAGAGGAAAAAAAAACTCTAGACCACCTTTACTCCACACACAGAGACGCATACAAAGCTCTCCCTCGCCCTCCATTTGGCAAATCTGACCATAACTCTATCCTCCTGATTCCTGCTTATAAGCAAAAACTAAAGCAGGAAGCACCAGTGACTCGGTTAATAAAAAACTGGTCAGATGACGCAGATGCTAAGCTACAGGACTGTTTTGCTAGCACAGACTGGCACATGTTCTGGGATTCTTCAGATAGCATTGAGGAGTACACCACATCAGTCACTGGCTTCATCAATAAGTGCATCGATGATGTCGTCCCCACAGTGACCGTACGTACATACCCTAACCAGAATACATGGATTACAGGAAACATCCGCACTGAGCTAAAGGGTAGAGCTGCCGCTTTCAAGGAGTGGGACTCTAACCTGGACGCTTATAAGAAATCCCGCTATGCCCTCCGACGAACCATCAAACAGGCAAAGAGTCAATACAGGACTAAGATTGAATCGTACTACACTGGCTCTGACGCTCGTCGGATGTGGCAGGGCTTGAAAACTATTACAGACTACAAAGGGAAGCACAGCCGCGAGCTGCCCAGTGACACAAGACTTCCAGACGAGCTAAACCACTTCTATGCTAGCTTCGAGGCAAGCAACACTGAAGCATGCATGAGAGCACCAGCTGTTTCAGATGACTATGTGATCACGCTCTCCGTAGCCGATGTGAGTAAGACTTTTAAGCAGGTCAACATTCACAAGGCCGCAGGGCCAGACGGATTACCAGGACGTGTACTCCGAGCATGTGCTGACCAACTGGCAAGTGTCTTCACTGACATTTTCAACATGTCCCTGACTGAGTCTGTAATACCAATATGTTTCAAGCAGACCACCATAGTCCCCTTGCCCAAGGACTCTAAGATAACCTGCCTAAATGACTACCGACCCGTAGCACTGACGTCTGTAGCCATGAAGTGCTTTGAAAGGCTGGTCATGGCTCACATCAACAGCATTATCCCAGAAACCCTAGACCCACTCCAATTTGCATACCGCCCCAACAGATCCACAGATGATGCAATCTCTATTGCACTCCACACTGCCTTTTCCCACCTGGACAAGAGGAACACCTACGTGAGAATGCTATTCATTGACTACAGCTCAGCATTCAACACCATAGTGCCCTCAAAGCTCATCACTAAGCTAAGGATCCTGGGACTAAACACCTCCCTCTGCAACTGGATCCTGGACTTCCTGACGGGCCGCCCCCAGGTGGTAAGGGTAGGTAACAACACATCTGCCACACTGATCCTCAACACGGGGGCCCCTCAGGGGTGCGTGCTCAGTCCCCTCCTGTACTCCCTGTTCACCCATGACTGCATGGCCAGGCACGACTCCAACACCATCATTAAGTTTGCCGACGACACAACAGGTGTCGGCCTGATCACCGACAACGATGAGACAGCCTATAGGGAGGAGGTCAGAGACCTGGCCGTGTGGTGCCAGGATAACAACCTCTCCCTCAACGTGACCAAGACAAAGGAGATGATTGTGGACTACAGGAAAAAAAAGAGGACTGCGCACGCCCCCATTCTCATCGACGGGCTGTAGTGGAACAGGTTGAGAGCTTCAAGTTCCTTGGTGTCCACATCACCAACGAACTATCATGGTCCAAACACACCAAGACAGTCGTGAAGAGGGCACGACAAAGCCTATTCCCCCTCAGGAGACTGAAAAGATTTGGCATGGGTCCTCAGATCCTCAAAAAATTATACAGCTGCACCATCGAGAGCATCCTGACTGGTTGCATCACCGCCTGGTATGGCAACTGCTTGGCCTCCGACCGCAAGGCACTACAGAGGGTAGTGCGTACGGCCCAGTACATCACTGGGGCCAAGCTTCCTGCCATCCAGGACCTCTATACCAGGCGGTGTCAGAGGAAGGCCCTCAAAATTGTCAAAGACTCCAGCCACCCTAGTCATAGACTGTTCTCTCTGCTACCGCACGGCAAGCGGTACCGGAGTGCCAAGTCTAGGTCCAAAAGACTTCTCAACAGCTTCTACACCCAAGCCATAAGACTCCTGAACAGCTAATCATGGCTACCCGGACTATTTGCACTGCCCCCCCACCCCATCCTTTTACGCTGCTGCTACTCTGTTAATTATTTATGCATAGTCACTTGAACTCTACCCACATGTACATATTACTTCAACTACCTCAACTAGCCGGTGCCCCCGCACATTGACTCTGCACCGGTACCCCCCTGTATATATAGCCTCCCTACTGTTATTTTATTTTACTTCTGCTCTTTTTTTTCTCAACACTTTTTTTGTTGTTGTTTTATTTTTACTTTTTTGTTAAAAATAAATGCACTGTTGGTTAAGGGCTGTAAGTAAGCATTTCACTGTAATGTCTGCACCTGTTGTATTCGGCGCATGTGGCCACATTTTTTTATTGTTTATTTCCCATTGCCAATAAACCCCTTAAATTGAAATTGAAAATGGAATTGAGAGAGAGAGAGAGAGAGAGAGAGAGGGGGGGGGGGGGGGGGGGGGGGGGGGGGGGCAGAGAGAAAGAGAGCAAGACAGAATCAGAGAGAGAAAGAGAGGAGATACTGTAGAGAGAGCGTGAGAGAAAGAAAGAAGGAAAGCAAGAGGAGCGAGAGAGAGAGAGGTGAGGAAGAGGCCAGAGGTACAGTACAGTATAACACCTCCTCAGTACAGCGGTACAGTATAACACCTCCTCAGTACAGTGGTACAGTACAGTATAACACCTCCTCAGTACAGCGGTACAGTACAGTATAACACCTCCTCAGTACAGCGGTACAGTACAGTATAACACCTCCTCAGTACAGCGGTACAGTACAGTATAACACCTCCTCAGTACAGCGGTACAGTACAGTATAACACCTCCTCAGTACAGTGGAACAGTACAGTATAACACCTCCTCAGTACAGCGGTACAGTACAGTATAACACCTCCTCAGTCCAGCGGTACAGTACAGTATAACACCTCCTCAGTACAGAGGTACAGTATAACACCTCCTCAGTCCAGCGGTACAGTACAGTATAACACCTCCTCAGTACAGCGGTACAGTACAGTATAACACCTCCTCAGTACAGCGGTACAGTATAACACCTCCTCAGTACAGTGGTACAGTACAGTATAACACCTCCTCAGTACAGCGGTACAGTACAGTATAACACCTCCTCAGTACAGTGGTACAGTACAGTATAACACCTCCTCAGTACAGCGGTACAGTACAGTATAACACCTCCTCAGTCCAGCGGTACAGTACAGTATAACACCTCCTCAGTACAGCGGTACAGTACAGTATAACACCTCCTCAGTACAGCGGTACAGTATAACACCTCCTCAGTACAGTGGTACAGTATAACACCTCCTCAGTACAGCGGTACAGTATAACACCTCCTCAGTACAGCGGTACAGTACAGTATAACACCTCCTCAGTACAGCGGTACAGTACAGTATAACACCTCCTCAGTACAGCGGTACAGTACAGTATAACGCCTCCTCAGTCCAGCGGTACAGTACAGTATAACACCTCCTCAGTACAGTGGTACAGTACAGTATAACACCTCCTCAGTACAGTGGTACAGTATAACACCTCCTCAGTACAGCGGTACAGTATAACACCTCCTCAGTACAGCGGTACAGTACAGTATAACACCTCCTCAGTACAGCGGTACAGTACAGTATAACACCTCCTCAGTACAGCGGTACAGTATAACACCTCCTCAGTACAGCAGTACAGTACAGTATAACACCTCCTCAGTACAGCGGTACAGTATAACACCTCCTCAGTACAGCGGTACAGTACAGTATAACACCTCCTCAGTACAGTGGTACAGTATAACGCCTCCTCAGTACAGCGGTACAGTATAACACCTCAGTACAGCGGTACAGTACAGTATAACACCTCAGTACAGCGGTACAGTATAACGCCTCCTCAGTACAGAGGTACAGTACAGTATAACACCTCCTCAGTACAGCGGTACAGTACAGTATAACACCTCCTCAGTACAGTGGTACAGTATAACACCTCCTCAGTCCAGCGGTACAGTACAGTATAACACCTCCTCAGTACAGCGGTACAGTACAGTATAACGCCTCCTCAGTACAGTGGTACAGTACAGTATAACACCTCCTCAGTCCAGCGGTACAGTATAACACCTCCTCAGTACAGTGGTACAGTACAGTATAACACCTCCTCAGT